GGAGTCGCCGATAATTTTGCGTCCCCCGGGCGAGGAAGTTACGCCACTGGCAGGCGATAAAACGCGCGAATCGCCGTTCCCGAGGCGCAAAAAATCGCGTCGTAACGGTTAAGGGCCGTTAAGGTCCGATCCTGGTCTGTTCGAGGTGGCGACTCCGCCGTGATTATTTTTCACTCCGAGCCGGGGTTCGCGCAGGACGAATACCTTCGGAGGGACCTTCGAGAGTCCTTTGGCGCCGCGCTACCGGGCCCGGTATCAGGACGCGTAATCGCCTGGCATTCTCCAGGAACGTCGGGAGAGGACTCGCGGACTTATGGCGGCGCCGCGCAATGACATCAGTAAAGCCGAGTCCCTGTACCTCATTGGTACGTACCGGAGATTCCGTAGATGAACCGTTGATACGCTTTTATTAATGCAACGTCGCTCGTCCTTTGGGGTCCGTTTTCGCCGGCTGAATTCGAGATTTCGGCCGGACCTCGATTCATCGTCCACAATACTCGAGCGTTCTCACAAACGTGAGAATTAATCGGGGAAAAATGGATAAGCGAAAAGTCAATTGATATACAGAGTGTCCGTTAACTCACAGAGAAGCCGCAGTGTACAGTTAGATTATGTCAAATTGAACAAAAAATTCCTTTACCATTTTGCGAACAATCATGTAAAATCTTGAATCATTAATTAAAGAAGATTCGTGAATAATCACGCGCCATACAGTAGAGTTATGGTGACAACATCTGCCGCTTGTATTTTAAGTCAAACAAAAAATCCTTTATCATTTTCAAAATGATCACGTAGTTTAGTTATTAATTAAAAAAAATTGGTGCATTAACGCGCATAATTATACATCATATTTCTTTAATTAATAACTTGTTCGCAAAATGATGGAATCTTTCGTTTAGTTTGACCCAATCTACACCGCGACTCCTCTGTAAGTTACAGGATACCCTGTAGATTGAAAACAGTATTACGTGTTTTTTTTTTCTTTATTATTCTTTACTTCTTCTGTAGCTTCTTATGAATGCCACGCCAATAAAATTCTTCTCCTCGTTTTCTTGAAATAAAACAAAGCGTTGTTCTTATTTCGGACGCAATTCTTTGATTTACATAAAGATTTGAGTAATGCGCGCGTTTATTTTTTCCCTTAGTAGCTTGCGTCAATTTGCCGTCTGAATCGAGAAAGAACGACGTCGGGCGAGCTGTTCTTTTCGAGAACAGCTTCATTGGAAAGCGAACGCCGCGCGGCCGATAAAGTGTCACTTTCGTGCGTAATCGCCAGTAAGGATCGGCAGGACATCGGGACATCGCTGTCGGGTTAACTTCTTATTCCAATGTAGGAGCGTTCTTATCGCGAGATACGCTCGTTCTCGCTCGATGCTGCCCTCGTCTCGGTCCTCCTTTTTCTCTTTTCGCGCGGATTACTGCGCGCCTCATGCTTCAAGGTATACGTTGTCAACGGTGGCGTTAGGGAAACTCTAAACGACCGTCTTTAGCCTGCTGCGGAGTATCCTCATAAGCATAGATAATATCTGTACGCGGTGTAGCATAAATAAACATCGCGCCGGGGAAAGCAGCGCCGTGCCCGATCTGCGTGTCGAAATCGCTTGTGTTTTACGCCGATATTCGAAAATGGAGCGTTCTGCTCTCGCGATAACTCTTTATATAAAAGTCTCTTGCATAAGGTGGCCTAGAACCGTGGAAAATTCCTACCTAGAACAGCGTAACAAGTTCCAAGTCCCGCGTCGCGCTGAATTTCCCGCAAGTTTCACTTTTTAATGTGAAATGTCTCGTGTGAAACTTTTCTTAATTTATTAACGGCCAGTGTCCTAATTATGGGATATTTAGTCGAAATTTTGATCCTACTTTCAACATCATTGTTCCATTCAATACTTATTTTGACGCTGAAGAAAGTGAAAACTTCGGACGTTATCAAAGTCAAAGTAGGAGTAAACTGTATTGTTGACGAGAACAAATGCGACTTATATCTCGGGCGATGTAGTTTTGTAAAGATGACAAATGATGACTTGCTTGAGACGGTACTTGTTCGATCTGTTTTTCCCTAACGTTCATCGAACAGCAAGCTTATGTTGTGACAATCGAGGGATTAGGATGTTTCGGGACGACCGCGTACACAGTCTAGCGTTGTGAACGGCGTGAATCGTCGCGCATCCCCCTGAATCCACCCACCTACGTACCTGCTTATCTACCTACCTACCTACCCACGTTCATCTTCGCGGAAGGTCAAAGGCATGCGCGGGCCATAAAGCGGACGCGGGTTCGCCACCCGCGTGTAAGAAATAATAATAATTAAACGCGCTTAATTACCGGCGAGTTGCCGCGAAGGATTCGGACGGGCGATAACTCAGCGGGCACCGGGAGAATGGCCAAAGCGTTTGGTAGGATATTGCGCGTTGCGCTGCGAGCGAGCGTGCGCGGTTCATTAGGGTGGATCCTTTTCGGCCGGGCTCGGCCAGGAGGAAGGGAGCGCGCGCGAGAGGCAAAGATAGCTGCAGAAGCACGAAGCAGTTAATATTGTCTCCTGGGGGCATATTTTACGGCAGATACAATCTTCAGGATGCCTCGCTAAAAGCTACACGTGTTTATCAGCGTAAGCCTCTCCCTTCACCCTCGCGCCCTCTGCCGCCGACTTCCTCCCTGACTCTCTCGTCGTTTCTTCCCCTTGCGCGTCTCCGACGCGCGGCTTCCACCTTTTTTAACAGCTCCCGAGTCCTTCGACGCTGTAATCTCATTCGGGATAATTCTCACAGCGCTCCGCTAATCGCATCTCGGATTTATTTCGCGAAGATCCGTCGTGCGCTGTCGATACGTTCGCACGTACGAAGATTGTCGCAGTTGAGAGAACATAAAAATCGAGGAGATCGGTTCCTCGCTTGACGAAGAACGGATCCTCACGTTCGCGGCAGATACGAACGCTCCTTGAACGCGTCGATTCTCCTCCTCGCGTCGCTTCCGCGCGCACCCGCGTGGGTTGAGTACGCGGATGCACCTGGTATGCAAGTCGCTGGCTACACTAGCTTGTCTACCGGCTGATGATACCTCGGCCGATGATGCGCACCTTCCTCTCGTATCGAACCCGATACCCCTGCGGCGTTGCAGCCGAGGATCGAGCCCCGGTAGCCGTGCGCTTTCCTGATATATTATTTTCTCTCTGCCGAGACGTGCCTTCCCGCGGTGGTACTTTTCGAATCCAGTGCATGATTAATTATTCGCAATCCTCTCATTTAATTTCCCGCGCGACGGCCCACCGCGAGAGCGTCCAGCTCGCGAGCAATTTGCAAAATTTCACCGGCTACTCGGGTCGAAATTTTAGCCCTACTTGGGACCTAAACTTTTCAATATCTGTATACTATAAAGGATCAGTGTAATTCAAGTCGAGAATTTAACCTTTTCGACGCTTTCAGTCTTATTCCATTCAACACCTATTTCGATACTCTGAAACTTACATCAATTTCTTTTGATTCTATTTAGTCTACTCGAGTCGAAATTTTGATCCTACTTTCAGCTTCATTATTCCGGTCAACATCTAGTTTGATATTCTGAAATCTGCAATACAATCTATTTTGATGCTAAAAAAGTGAAAAGAAAAATTTCGGACATCATCAAACTCAAAGTAGAAATAGAACGTATTGTTAGAATTAATTCTACTTTGTTAACTTAACTCCTACTGCTTTGTAGAATTTAATATAGGGTCAAAATTTCGAGTTTAATATAGATGAAAACTGAAATTTTACTTAGCGTCTCTAAGTGTGGCAGAAAACATACAAAATGTCACATATAAAAAGGACCTCTCAGCAAAGCCATTAGGTTAAGTAGAATCAGAAAAAGTCAATGTAGACTTCAAAGTAGTTCACGTTAAATGAAAGATTGAGGTCGAAAGTAGGATTATAAATTTCGACTCGGGTAACTTCTGGGAATTCAAAACGAGTTCTCTTATCTGACCATCGGCTGCGATCCAAACTGCATCGAGAAAAAGTGTTCGTTTTGAAATCAGATATACGCTTATGAAATACTAATAACCTGGTAACACCGTGCGTTAAGACTATTCTGCCGCTTAGTGTGTACTTAACTGTGCTCGCAATCGTATATTCTAAGTCTTCATTTGCATGTTCGATTGATTGTTATCTGGACAAATAAGATTCAATTTTACAAGCATATATCCCGATACTTGGCCGATATAATCGTAAAAATGTGTATCATATATTATCATTAATAATTCCCGGAAGTTGGCAGGACGATTGTATTCGCCGCGATACTATTGCGACACAGTTTTTGCCGCGAGAGTTTCTTTGTTCGGATTACGAAAGTTACGCGGGTCAGGCTCGGTCGCGATTTGCGCGTTTCTCGGTCGAGATAATAGATTAATCTATTCGTAACAACCCTTGGTACCTCGAGTGCACCTTTCCTTCCGTTCAACCTGCTCGACGTGCTTCACGGACACGGTTAAACGGGAGCTATCGAATAGCGCGTTTTCATAGCTCATATATAATTCACGAGAGAAACCTCCACCTGCTTCGCATGCCACGCCACGCTATCGCGTTTAATAATTTTTGCAAAGCACGCCTCCGTCGTCGAAGTCGCTCATAAAGCCGCCGCGGTAATAGTAATATTAATCGATTATCGCGCCAAATGATAGTCTAAGCGCGATTCGCGCGACGGCCTCGCGAACACGCGGGTAATGATCGCGCACAAGCGCGTAAAGAAAAATTATTATGCGAGAAATAATCGTTTACGGCACCGTTCTGGCGCCGTGTCTGTTAGCCGCTTGCGAAAGACCAAAATCTGGCTCGACAAAGTTGTTCTGAATTTCATAAATTTTCATTTAAGAAAGAAAAAAAACATTGGAATTGAGATTTCGGTTGAGATTTTGATGTTGTAGCCTTTTTTGGAATTTCTCACTTGAACGCCCACTGTACGCCGGGCGACAAAGCATTCGAGACTTTCATGACGGTTAAACTCACCTGAGAACGTATTTTTTTTTTCAGATCTCATTCGGGCCGGCGAACAATACACATACACGGACTACACGCGTCAGCACGTTATCTGTATTGTCTGTATTGTTGCTCCGCACAATCAAAACATTCGCGACTTTCAAGGCGATCAAAACAACCCTAACGTCTCGCGGACTCTTCCGCGTCTTTCCATTCAGTCTCGGGCCGGCGCCCGACATATACACACACACAACGGACTACGTATGCGGTGCGTCATCTATTATTTCTCGCGAGTGATTAGTAATCTATTTCGCCTTTTGAGATACTCAATTAGTCTCTCGTCGGTATCGCGTTATTTAACACGTGTATCTTCGAGTCGTGTACCTTCAAATCGTGTACTTTCGAATCGTGTCTCCGCGAGTGTCAGTGCCAGTGCCACGACGGAGCGACCAGGATATTGGGACGAGAAGCCAAGATGACGCAGGAAGCCGAGACAGCGATACATCATATATTTTCAAGGTGTGTTAAATCATTTATTATATAGCAAGTTTATATTTTTAACGGGCGTTTGTCGAACTTACGGAGAATAAAGAAGTACCCGAGTCGAAATTTAAGCCGGCATTCATAGTTTGTGATCACTTACATTTAATTATAGCTTCATTGATCTCCGATTAATTGTCAACTTATACTTGTATTTGTTAGATTATTTCATACGAGAAATATTGATCCTACAGCTGAGTTTATGGTCTATGAATACTGAACTTATTATTAATAATGCTCTCGATCAAGAATAGTAAATAATTTGTAACTATGAATGTCGGCTTTATGATATAATATTTGTAATATAAATTTGACAAGTGCTGATTTTTATACGTCCAATAATGCTTCTTGTGTCGCGATTTTGTTTACATCCGTCAATGCTTTCATATTGTTTCTGTTTAGTTTTGTTATTGTTACGAAAATTTAAATCTCTACTCATAAACAGCATTATTGGACAAATAACTGTTATCTTTGCATTCACAGCTTTACATCAGCTCTTTTAAGAGCTAAAAATCTCATCAAAACTTCCATTAACCTCTTAAGTGGTAAGTCCGGAAAAGTTTCGCAGTAAAATATTAACTTTCTTTTGATTTATTTAAACTGTTATATATTTCACTTATAGCATATATGAATTAAATGTATCTTGTATTTTATTTTTCAAAATTCTCTTGAAAGAAAATAACAATAATGGGAAAACAGGATTTAGATATACTTATTTAGAAAAAAAATTTCTTTTATTAGCAATTACGTAGTCATTTTAAATCACCACTGAAGAGGTTAGAAAAAAGAATAAAAAAAAAAAGATAAGAGAAAAATTAGGAAGAGATGAGATTAAGACTTGTTTTTCGACCCCCATACATTAATCTTTGTTAAATAATTCAATATATGTTAATCTCTCGTGTGCTCTATTTGTAACTAAATAAATTTAACTAATACATTTAATTAATACATTTGACTAGTAGATTCAACTAATATATTTAACTAATACATTTAACAAATACATTGATTAATACATTTAACTAATGCATTTAATTAATGGACTAGAATAGAGAATAAGAGTTTCGAATATAACCACACTTCGCCAATTGCCAATCGCGTGTGTATATTTGCCAATTAATATATTAACGTACGATGATGTCACGCTTTGCTCCATGGGAAGAGTAACAAATACATCTAAGTGGGAAGGAGAATTTAAAGAGGAAAAAAGTTGGAAAGACACAAGCTTTGTTAAATAATTGATCTCTACTGTTTGATGGCCAAAAATTCCTATCTCTTCGGAATTCCGTACGAACGATATGCATTTTCAGACATTTTCTAGCTGGTGCAATTATCGTGAATGGCAATTGGCGAGTGGTTTTTAATATGCATCGAATGCACCCGTGCGCGCAATTTTTTCGATATTCTCTCTGTGGAAGGAGATGCATCGGGGAAGTTCAACAGTCGCTCTAGGATCATCTCAAGGTAGGTGGTGAAAGTACAGTGAGGGAAAAATTACTAATTAATTAAAATCAACCAATATTTCTTTGATGAGTGCCATTAACATATTTATTTAAATTTAAATTCTCTTTATTTAAACCAAATATTGTTTACTTGAATCAGGTAGATAATATTTGATTTAAATAAAGAGAATTTAGGTTTAAGTAAATGGGTTAATGGTACTCATCAAAGAAATATTTGTTGATTTTAAGATAATTTTTCCCTCAGTATAGGTGGTGAAGAAAGAGATAGCTTAAAGTAGCTGCTAAGGTAAGTGGTGAAGACACTGCTTCCGTATAATCTATATTTTGATCTTATTGCGGGTTGAAAAATCGCGAAATAATGTGCGTAAGAATGATGTTATATGCAATGTCCTATAATTCATCGACTATTCTAGAATTCATGATAATGTGATTCCATCATCAATATCTAACTTTTCCCATTTCGTATTTCTTTTTTCGACCCGCGACACTTCTGATACACGTTGTTTCCTCGTTTAAATATAACCATATTTCGCTCATTTCCAATCGCGTATGCATACATTCGTCAATGTACAATTATTAATGTATAACAACATCACACTTTACTTGGGATATCGAATAATTATCGTGCAATAGTCGATTGTATGTTCTCAATTCGTAGAAAACATATTTTGGAAACAAAATTTTAACAGTGAGAAAAAGAGAGAGAGAGTAATGATATATTTAAATAGCGAGGAGAGTTTGAAGAGGGGCAGCGGGCTTTTTGAAATAATTAGTTGATTTAAAATGTTCTCGTTGATCAAGGATATTCTTAGCTCTCCCGGATTTCGCACGAATGACGTGCATTTTTTGAGACCAGGCAGAGCAACTATCGCGAATGGCAATGAGCGAGTATCGGTTTTGTGCATTCGATGCATCCGGACGGTTAACTTATTCAACATTTTTTCCACGGAGAGCAATAAACTTTATCATTTTGTTGGAAAACACCAAAGTGAACATCCATTAAGAAAAAACACAAAAATTTATTTTTGGAATAAAAATTTATTTCGCAGAAATAAACTTTATTTCACGGAGAAGCTTTACTTTACAAAAATAAAATTTACTTTACAAAAATAAAATTTACTTTACAAAAATAAAATTTACTTTACAGAAATTAATTTGATTTCACAGAAATTTATTTTGCATTTCACAAATAAATTTTCAAGTATTTTTTTTCAATGTCGGATCTCGAATCTTTATCTTCGAATCGTTTGAAGCGGAATGCAGTCTGAGGATAAAGTTTTATTAAAATTGAGATAATCAAATATTAAATAATTGAGAGCGCGAGAAGTAATGAAAATAATTAAAATTTGAATATTAAATAATTCTTGAACGAGTGTTTCGTCGAGCTTTTTTAACATGAAGAAAACGACAGCGAACGATCATCTGCAACATCAAGGTAAGTCAATAGCTTGTATGTCTTGAGATTCTTCATTGACTCTTCAAATTCGAAATAAAATTTGCAGGGTCAATATAGAATCAAAATTTCGACTCGGGTTATTATCCTTCCACGCCGCGAAAATCGCGTACACGAAAGATACGAGATCTCGATACAAAGCCGAAATAAAGCCAATAATTACCGAATCTCATTTGCGAGACAGTCTCCCGAAATCAGTCGGATTGAACAAGAAGATTTGTTCTGGATGTTTGATTAAATGCATCAGCGTAATGTGGCTTATACATAGAAGAATGAAGTAATCGCGCGCGCAAACGTGATATATCTCATTGATAAATTTATATATCGCATTGATAAATCTATACTCCTTTAGTGATTACCAAAACCTATGGTTTAGCAGTAAATCGATAATTTTTTATTTTATCTTATACCAGTATTCCAACAGAGTGCGAGGCTTCGACACAATTGTTGAATTTATTAACTCGCACAGAGAAACAATAAAAAAAGGGAAATATCTTAAGCACAATATTTCTAAAATTAGAGAAATTTCATCTTTCATCTTGATGCGATCTTGCTTGTTGCATCTTCCGTATCGCGCATAAGGGAGCACTCTATTTAAAGTAAATGTATTCCTGTTAATCATATTTCATATACGTAACTTAATGAGACGCGATAGCGTCATCGCGCTAGTCATCGGTGACCGTCGCAGTGCTCGATGCGTTAATGAAACACGCACCTCCGAGAACACCAAGACACCCCGTAGAGACGTTCGCTGATGTGGCGCACAGGAAACGTCAGGATGGCGCCGAAATAAAATCGAAGATCACGCGCGCGCCAACGCGGGCCGGATAAACGGACGAGCGGGCGACGGAGAGCGCTTATTTGCATATTCAACGCCCAGTCGTGTTACAACAATAAAATGCCGCTAAACACGTGTTCCACGGTACGATACAGCCTGTCTCCCCCCCTCGACACCCTCGACCATCGAGACGCTCTTTCAGCAGCACGGCTCGTTTCACCTCTCTCGTCGTGCCTTCTCGCGAACAGGTAACACGCCACCGGCCATAATCACAAATTATCCGGGGCTCCGAGCGTGCACGTCCTCGCGATTACGTTCCTCGTTTACATACGTTCGGGGCCGGAAGTGTCGCAAAAGTCGGCTCGCGTTCTCGAAAGGTCTCGCGCGTGAAAGTTCTAGTTTGACGGCGAGGTGACGTGCGCGAGAGTTTCTCCGCCTCCGTCTGTATGTGTGTATATATGACGAACAATATGATAGTATTTACTGTTTCGATTCGCAACATGTCAATCCGCGATTGTGAGTATTGACACGCTTATTGCCGGCTTGTCACTTGTAATCTTGCAGTAATTAATACTCTCCACTTTTCTACGCGTCGCGCGTATTTTCGCCCAAAAAGACATCATTTCATTCATAGTGGAATCCTCTTATATAAAGGAATTCTTGAAGCCCTTGAAAATATTAAAAAAAAATTGTGCAAGATGTTATTTCCTTTAAAAAATTTTCCCAAAAAATATTCTCTTCTTCTATCAAAGAGAGAGCGAGTTACTAATCGATGATTCATTAGATATTACTCTTTCTCCCTTTTGCATCAAGAAGAATATGTTTGCTTAAAGTAGAATACCTTCTTACACATACGAAAGATGCAACAAACAAAATTACTGCACTGTAGATAAAATATGAAATTTCTGAAAATTCTGTTACGGGAATAAATCAATAAATAAACAATGCTTTTATTTTCGCTATTAAAAAACGTTGCATTTTAACAAATGCATAAGAAAATATTACTTTTGACGTAATATCATCGAAACTTTATCTCCACAGCACTTTCAAGATTGTCGCGATCGACAGCACAATCAATTCGCGTTAGTAGACACTTGTCGTCGCGCTACTGCCTGCTCGAAAATGCGGCCTGGAAACAATCAATGAGGAATATCCGTTGGTCGTTCACACTAAGCGATTCGCGAGAGGACGCCGATTGTGAACGGCTGTAAATGGCGGGCGATTCGCAATTGCCGGAGGTACGCGCGCGCGCGTTCTCCAGCGCGCGGCGTGGGCGCGCGCGATTGTCTGGCGTGTCTCTTTTTTGCGCCTAGATCGCTCGCGGCAAAAATGAAAATAGCTCGGCCGACTAGGTCTCTCACTTCGCGTGTGCCCACGTGGGCCCGCGCGAACGAAAGGGCGGCCGAGGTGCGTTGCGTCGGAACGCGACGTCACTTAATTCCGCCGTTGCTTTGCGCGCTGATTTACGTATTGCCGATTACGCGCGAGTCGCCGCCGCGACGGCTCTATTTCGCCGGCGGTTTTGTTCCGCGCGTCAAACGACGCGCCATGAAAAGCGGATCGAAGCGTGCGAGATTCGTCGCGATTCTCACTGAGACATGGAAGGTGTTTATCCCTCCCCGATTTTAATGAAACTCGGTGGGTTTTGTAAAGAGTATCAAAATGTTCTATA